AGTGTTCCGGTTTGGATTGCACCAACATCTCTTTTTTAAGTTTAGCCCTATCTTTGTTCTTTTAATTTCAGTTCTTAAATTCACCAATCAATCCTTTCATTTATGTAATAGGCCTGCATTTAAAATAAACATTTACCATAAATTAAAGGTATCTTATATTATTAGATATATTATTATAAAACATGCTTTAGTTAAGGAGTTATTAATACTTCAAGTGCAAAATGATGACATAAAACCTTGATAAAAAATGCACTTTTAAGTACCAATCAGTTGCCCCTAGTCCAGGAGTTTGAAGTTTCCATCAAAACTATTTCAGAAGTCGATCCTAAAGCACAGTCCCCTTATAGGATGACTTTTATAGAATTGGTCGAATTGAAGATCCAACTTCAGGAATTATTGGACAAAGAGTTCATACAACCAAGCAACTTGCCTAAGGGAGCCCTGGTACTATTCATAAAGAAAAAGGATGGTACATTTTAGTTGTGTGTCGACTATCGTTAGTTGAACAAAGTGACAGTGAAGAACCAGTACCCTTTTTCATGAATAGATGACTTATTTAACTAATTGAAAGGTGTAAGGGTGTTTTCTAAGATAGATATGAGATCGGGGTACCATGAATGAAGAATCAAAGAACAAGATATATTGAAAACTACCTTTAGGACCTATTACGAGCATTATGATTTTTTAGTAATGCCTTTTAGGTTGACAAATGCCTTGGTAGTATTTATAGACATGATGAATCGAGTGCTTTAGCTCTATCTAGATAAATATGTGGTGATGTTTATTAATGATATATTGGTGTATTCCAGCTCTTATTTGGAACATGAGCAACACTCGAGGAAAGTGTTGGAAATACTAAGGGAGAATAGACTATATGCACAGTGGGATAAATGTGAGTTTTGGCTCAATGAGGTAGTATTTTTAGGGCACATTATCTCAGCGGGAGGAATATTTGTGGATCTAGGAAGCTTAGCCCTCTCTTTGTCTTCTCAATTTCAGTAGTTAAAATTATCAATCAATCCTTTCATTTATATGATAAGCTTGCAATTAAGATGAACATTTACCATAAATTAAAGGTATCTTATATTATTATAAAACGTGCTCTAGTTAAGGAGTTATTAATACATCAAGTGCAAAATGATGATATAAAACCTTAATAGAAATGCACTTTTAAGTACTAATTACACCCC